CCAAACCAACCCCCCCCCCCCCCCCCCCCAGTAAGAAACCATGAGCTTGATCGAAGATCCATCATTTGAATGAGGCTGGATGCAAGTGTTTGGGTTTCACTTTATGTTAAATTAAGATTTTCTCTGAGGCTATGTTTATCCCTTCACCCCCTATAGTAAGAAGCCCTGTTTCAGTTGAACATCGCTTACAAGTGGGGAGGCTTGTTCAGTTTAAAACACAATTAAAATTTATTTTCCCATGTTTCTGGGTGTGGGCTTGAACCAGATTCAGGAAGTTGGTGCTAAACCCCTAAATTTGAACCTACCTCAAGTTACTGCCTCCAGGGCCTGGTAGAAGGGTTACCTTTACATTATCTAAAATGTGTCAGTAAAAAATGTTTGCAGATTGCCAGTGAAAAAAGGGGGGGGGGGAGGGAAAAAGGTCTTTGGCAACCCTATTTGTGCATGTCCCACTCTTCATAGTCCAATTCAAGTGTCTTCATGTGCTTGGAGACTGTTCACCCTCTGACAGTCACTAGCAGATACCGACTGGGATTCTTGAACTGTGGTCAGTGAGCAGCTGGCTAAACATCAGCGCTTCTGTTTCAGCTGCCAAACTTCAATACAAAAGTACATTACTTACCTACTGTATGTTTCCGTGTGAGTTTCTGTGTTTCTGCTCTGTTTGCCTCAGGGATGTTATGTGATTGGGAATGAGAGGGTCTCTGTAATAACAAATAGATGTTACAATCTAGACAATCTGAGTCTGATGACTAGATCTAGACGACTGAGACGATCTCTAACATGTTTTGGTTTTTGTTTAAAGTTTAAGACTAATGTGCTTTTAGGAAGGAATAACCATCCTAAGGGGAGGTAAATTAGCATAGAAACTGACCTTCACGGCATCTACATACACATTAGTTAAAGCAAGTTGACTTTTGAAATGTCCTGCATCCATTGAACTACTGCTGCCAGCAATATGAGCCGTTTCTACCCCATTCCATACTCAGTTGACCTTGAAGATGGAGTTTTCATTTAGATCTGTAAAACTCTTCTGTTGGATGGTATTTTCTTTTGGGCCAGGCTTTGAGTTCTTTTGGCTGTCTTTTTCCTTTTCATATATGTAAGTATTTACCGTTTTTCCAGTTACTGACCTCTCATCTGTTGGTTTTGCAGTCAATATATATTATAATTTAATGTACGAATAAACAAAATGCAAAATAAGTGACTCCAGATAGTGTATGATAACATTTGTTCTGTCAGGGTAAAGTGTTATCCTCAACTTTGAAATATATAGGTGTTTGATTTCAACAAAATTGTGCTGCAGAAAATGTCATAAATTATCTATATATTATGTTATAATGTGTGTTATAGAATATTTGTTTTTGTTATGGGAATCTGCAAATTGCGAGAAAAATGTCTATGTATCTTGGAAGCAAAGCTTCTAAATTAAAAAATAGGAAACTTCAAGTAGGATCTTTTAAACTTTGTGCATCTTACTGGCCTAAGCCATTATTCATTGATTAATCTTTCTCAATAGCCAGTTTCCAGTCATTTTTCTTGACAATTCTTACATTTTTAGCTTTGACAGAATTCTTTACTGCAGAATAGGCAAGCTCCAGGTAGGCAACATGGTTGTTTAATTCAGTCACTTCACAGTTTTAGAGGTAAGATTTCAAGCCAATTAGTCTTACCTGGCATGGTTCCTGTCCCTTTGGAAAAGAATGAATCTGTTTTTGGGTTGTGGATTTGAATTTTTAACCTGATAAAGCATATATGCAAACCAAAATAGCACATACAAGTTTTCCTTCACCTATATGTGAGAATTGAGCTAACTTCTACATTCCCTCAGCAGGAAAAGTCATCCTTGAACTCCAGTGCTCTTGTCCTCACTAGGCTTTTTAAGAAAGGTCTTAGTGTTGAGTGGGAGTATGCCTGGGCTTCACATTGTCATTGGATGCTAATCATTCTCATCAAAATCTACTCTCAAGTGCAGCTAGATGACATAGCCAGTGTGTGCTACCTTGAAGTCTAGTGTAGGTTCAGCCATGGAATTAAATGGACATTTTTCTCAGGCATATTCAGGCTTTTCTACTGCTGTTTTTAATTGAGGTCTCAACTTCCACAAAGTTTTGCATCTATACTTTTAAGCACACATGCAGTCACATGGAGTTCAGTGGAATTAGTCATTTGTTTAAAGTAAGGCAAGGGTTTGTAAGAACAAGTTTTAGTTAACTTGAAAATGTCTGGTATGCAGGCACTTACCTTGGACCACCACAAATGTGACGGAAAAAGTGCTCACTGTACTAGTTATGAAAACCTTTACTGGACGTGACTCTGCCTCACCAAGTCCTTCTTTGAATTAAATTTAGGTCATCTGAAAATGTGTGTCGTATACAATTTTCAGTTATGGCTACTTTTCAGTGTTACAAAACTATGCGAAAACAATTGCTTTTTTTAGATGGCTTGAATTTTGGTGTATGAAAAGGAGTGGTAGTAGATTTTTTCTTTATTTGAAATGTCACATTTTTGTGTGTTTTGTAGCAACATTTTTTTAAAAATGTGTTTTCAATAAAGTTAAACTGTGATTAACACTTTTGTCATTTGTATTAAAAACAGACTTTAACTCTGAAAGGTGTGGCGCTATAGCAGTAATACCCAGGTATAGCACAAGTTTACCTCCACCCCACAGTGGGGTGGAGGCTTAATGTTTATAAAGTACTTTTGAGATCCTCTAGTAGAGGTCACTTAAAGATCAAGGTATCACAGAGCATGCTATCCTTCAGTTTCAGGCCATCATTTATTATGACACTGATCAAGGGATTTTAAGCCCTTCCCCAGAAATCAAGAGTAACAGCTGACAGGCTTTAAATGCATTTCGGTTTCCTTTCTAGAGGTGCAGGCTATAAGAAATTCCTGAACCCATTTTGTGTCTTTAATGAGTTATTGGTAGTACAGCCCCTTTTGAATGACTTCCTAGGCTTTTCCATTTGCCTACTGTTGATCTTGTGATACGACTTCACTTCACTAAAGGGGAAGTGCACCTTAGCTTAGTAGAAGGATCTGACAAGCTTCAGCAACAGGATTGGTGGCAGCAGTAGCATGCACCTTCCTGTTTTCAACATCAGTTAATTGGAAATCCAGGCAGGGTTGTAGAAAGATCCCTCTAAATGAAGAAAGGAGCCATAGGAGCAAGTGTATATTGAGGATCTCTGGAAAAAGAAAAAGGGGTATTGAAGACCGTGGGAGAAGCTTGGTAGAAGACCATCAAAGGGAAAAGCAGTTGGCTGACAGTGATCATGGGGAAGCAGTACATTTGAACAGAAACCAAAATGCCTATTTAACTTTTATTTCTATGACCATCAGCATCCACTGAAAATATCCTCAAGATGCTGGTTCTGACAAGGATCAAATTTGTGTAATACAGGCCCTCATCAAATCAATTAAATTATGCAATTCATTCTGAGATTTCTACATGTTTGTATCAATATTCAAGAATTTTCTTTTGATAACAAGAGCGGCATAAAGGACAAATGTGTCTTTCTCCTAAGGAAAAGTCTTCAAATGTTTGGAGGCATGTATGGTGGAACATGTGTGAACAGGAGAGCAGAACAGTCTGTCGTGCAAACTGATCATTGCCGTTGTCAGAAAATATGCCTGGCGGATGAGCATGATGAAGTGGCATAATACAGATAGGACACTCAAATATCTCTTGCCGAAATGCCTGAGAGAAATGGAAAATAAATTAGTTACCGTAGATAAGGGACTGGCAAAATACAGCCTGCAGGCTGGATCCAGCCTGTGCAGCCCCTAAGAAACTTAAGTATAAATTTTTTATCTGCCCCAGCAGCCTGTCAAAGCTGACAGAGATAGGGGCAGTAGGACCTAGGGGGGAGCCTCAGCAGGACTGAACAGCTCAGCCCACCCCCAGCCATTTCCCTTGTCCTGCTCCAGCACCATGTGGTTGCTCTCCACCAGAAGTGTGTGTGGGGGGGGGTGGGGGGGGGAGAAGGGGGC